ACAGACTGCAGAAGTGAATAGGCTTTCCATGTAAGCAGAATGGGCAGGTTAACTCCTTGCCCTAGTGACAGGATCACATTGCTTGGAGGCTCGGCTTTGGAATTGAATGCTGAATGCTGCCAGATACCAGACATTGCAGTGAAGCTGACNTTTTTTTGTCAGCAAATGCGATCTGCAAGTTAATTGGTGTTTCTGCGGGCCTCTGGCTGTGAAATGAAATTGGAAGCCCTTTAGCCACATGGAAAAGCAGGACCTGAATACAAATGTCACATGTCACTGTCAGAAGCCAACTGTGAGCCTATCGCTTTCCCCCTCTTGATTCTGCACCATTCCAGATCATTTGAATACAAGGATTACATTTGAGTCAGAATGCCCCCATTTGCCATTCACAAGAGCATGCCACAGTTCTAATGTCCTTGCGGTAAACCAAGGCAAGGAATAGTTGTGTGCAACCTTTTGACCTAAATATACTGGTAGGAAGTGGCAGAATACAGATGCTTTCCCACAGGGGTTCTTGATGAAAGAGGGGGAAAAAAATGCATTCATAATGGTTTGGCAAAACAGCCTTTTATTGCTTTGGTACAGTACAAATGAATCATTATACATGTCATTCTTAAAGCCAACCATAATTGGAGCAGCTACTGTTATCAAAGCTGGGCTGTTCTCATGACAGCCTAATAAAGATGAAACTGTTAAATTAAATCCCTGATGCTTAATCTGATGAAACCACTGAGGTAGAAGAATATTAGATGAGTGTCTGCTATTCTTCAGAGTGATGGACCCCCAAACAGCTTGTCAACACAGAGAGATTACAATAACAGGTTTAACGGCAGACTAACTCTGTCCTAACAAATATTACAAACTCCAGCCAAGATTTCCATCTTCAGGATATATTGCTGAACTCTCCTCTGTACTTGCTTGTCTGTTATTTTAACTGTGTACAGTTTTAAAATAACTCAGTTCTTTTAATTAAATTTTGCAGAATCATTTTTAAAAAATTGGCGCACAATGTGACTACACCAGAATTTAATTCTGTAGACCAAGTTTGACCTGAGGTGAACTAATACTAACCCTAGTGCAGTCAATTCGCCTTGTTTTGCTCTGTCAGAGCTGGCGATATTTGTATTGTGTCCCAATTGCCTGAAGGAGTTTCTCCACCCATAAAATTAGAGATTATTTGTTTGTAAAGATTACTATTCTTAAACCCAGTCTATAACGAGAAAACAGACTTATTAGAAGAAATCGTGAAAACGCATGTAGGCGGATCTGATAATTTGGTTTAACTTAGATCGTTTTAATATAACATGTAGTCTGTTTGCAACAAATGAAAGGAGTGTAGTATTGAAAAGGGCAATGATTCCCTCTTGCCAGGGATAGCACAGGTAATCTATTGCATTAATCAGGCAGCCACTGTAAAATGCATGGGGAGTGATTAAACTATCATACACAATACAATCAGCTTGAAGCAGATGTCAAGACCAATACATCAAAGTTTAATTCAATAATGGAGTGAATTAAGACAAAAAATAAAACATTCAGTTGTCTAAGGACTCCGAGTCCATGGCAGATTGCTTCATGACTGGGTTCTCTGTGCTGAGGCTACAAGCCCCCAGAGCCCGCCTGCTGTACACATCCAGGCTTTGTTTTCGAAAAAAAATGTAAATGTGTAGGCACTCAGAATAGTGCAAAATTGTTAGTGAGCAAGCTTTCGAGTTCTGAGCTGCAGCTCACATGGTTAGGTGAGAGAGGGTACGTTTCCTAAAAACCCTTTGTTAGTCGGGGAAGAAGGAGCAAAAATACACAGTTTTTACTGAAAGTGAACTGTGGCTGCCCTTTGCCTTTAATTACCATCAAAAGCTCATGGTTTCAAACACTTCAGAACCAGCAAAGCTGTGTATCTCATCTTGGGTTGGGGATCCTCTGCTGTCCACAAATAGCTTCCACCACCAGCAACATTGTGAGCCTCAGCACTAGCTCCTGCTCTAACTGGGATCCACTGGGCAATCATTAGCATATTTGGATCTGTTACCCATGCCAGCTTCCTGTCATTAATGAACTTCACTCATTCAGATCCAGTGTCCTTGTGTGTGCGTTACTATTGACTTTGCTGCTTTTGGACAGAAAGCTGAACTCTTTACAAGCATCAGTGTTTTGAAAGGCAAATTCTTCATCCCATCTGTGCAACGTTACATTAAAATGAATTGCTGCCAATCTTTTTTTAAAAAAAGGCAGAAAATTTATCTTTGCAGTTTGTACTTTCTGATTTCGAAATCCCTACCCCCATCTTAACAGTTCTCACGAGTCTTCCTAATACATCACTTATAATTTATTCCCACTGTCTCCCCTGTGGAATTAATATTAAATTACATAGCACAGTGTGAGTTAGCATCCAATTATCTGAAGGAAAAGGTGAAATTTACATACTTGTGTCAAATGCCCTACACAGTATTATGTGTGCTAGAAATATAAATAGACCGATTTTTAAAAAATAAAATGATTTGGGTTTGAAAGTTAAATAGTGTAGTTGGATTTGGGTGATGGTAGAACCCTTCCCAAACTCCTGTTGGAATCTGCAGCTTTATATGATGCTTCTCCTTCAAATATTATTGGGCTTTCAATAAACCAATTTATAAGCAACATGTATTGGTTAGATACAGTTAGCCGCATTCAGGCAATGATGCAGTGATTTTTTTAAAAAAGTTTTATATTCCCCTGCTGTTAAGCAAATGAAGTGTATTTTAGTCCCTTGCAGGCCTTCTGTAGCAATTAGCACGTGGCTGCAGCAATCCCTCTTGTGAATTTATAGCCGTTGTAGCCTTAAATAGGTGTGCGTTAGCAGTGTGTGATCTGCATTTTCTCAGCTATGGTTTAATTATTTAGAAGGGTTGGTCTGCGTGTGGTGCTGGTGAGGGGGGTTGCCAGTCAGTCTGTGCAGTGTATGGGGGAAGGGTGCTCTGCTTTCTGATGTGAAACCAGTCTGTTTGCTTCAGATGTTTTTAAGTGCAAGGCAGATCCAAGGCAGGAAGCTATCGTCTCCTAAACTTCTCTGTAGTGGATGAATGCAGTATTTTTTTATTAATAAAAGGTTGCTAGCTGTTACCCACATGTTATCTCACTCTTGCCAAAGCACTCATCTGTAACTAGGCAACAGCTAATGAAAATCATGTGAAAATTGTTGGTTTAGATCTTGTTCAGAACCATACCATATAGTGTGAGGTAGGCTGATTGTTCCAAAACTTCTAATTATTATGTTTAGTGCTAATTATTTTATTTTCCTAAACTATATTTAATAATAAGGTATTCTAGCTGCTTAATCATTATCCCCTTCAAACACTACAAAGCCATACATCTCTCTGGAAGTACGGGTCCTGTACAGATGTATAAAGGGTAGCCATCTGAACCAAATCTGACCTCTTTGTACATTTGCCTTCCCTTTGAAGTAAGATGTGCATTGGACAGATGCAAAATGAGCCAAAATGGGGCCCAGATCAAACTGTAGACATTTGTTGTTATATGAACACCAATGGGTTTTGTAGAATGCATAGAAATTTCAGAATGAGGTCATTGGACCCACAGTTATAATACTTGCATTTGATATAGTGCTTTTCATGTCTTCTAGACGTCTCAAAGCGCTTTACAGATTACACTATAAAGTGAATTGACTATTTGTGAATGAAACACGGCAGCCAATTGCACGCAGCAGTGTCCCACAAATAGTCGTGGATTGAAGTGACCAATTTATTTTTTTTGTAATCGCAGGACAGTTCCTGTGCTGTGATTACCCTGTTCCCCTCAGGTGTAGAAATTCAGATTAAATTGTTATATAGCATTTTCTGCCAGTTTCCCTCCCCTCCTGAAAGAAATTTGACTCCTTATTTACTTCCGCTGGAGGTCATTTTTCTGGTTGCCCTCCAGTACCTTGCCCAAAGTGGCCTTTATTCACATGTAAGTTTCAGGCGTTTGATTGCAGGGGCAAGACAACCAAGCCAGATTCTGTCTCCAATGACTTCCATATAAGGGCTCCTTCCTGGAGCAGGAACCCTTATGGTTTCCTCCCACCCGAAGTCTCCTTATGGTCCTGGGGTTAATTATAATGCCCCAATTGTTGCCCCAGCTGAGATCCACTAACACTGAATGAATTGAGAATTGAGCCTTCAGCCTGTGTGGTCTCGTGCTGTTCTCTGCCTTTATCCACCAGGGTATTGGAGCAATAGCCCTGTACTTTGCTTTCATTTGAAAACAAGCAAGCATTTGCAATCAATGCAAGTTACAACTATAGTTGGGTTAGGTTCAATCTATTATTTACTGTGTGTCCTGTGTATCCTGCTAGTGTATACCTGTTCCCCTGACATGTTTCACTCATGTATTTTCTTTATTAAGCTCTGCTTTTAATTGGAAAAGCAAGTTTTGTCTTTATATAATTCTATTGAATTCCCATATTCTTCAGTCTTTTAAACCCTGACACCTGTTGAGAAGCAAATGGCACCCCCTGTTGATAACTACTAGGAGGTGCAAGCAGCTCACATTTAGAGCCAAGACGTTGACTAAATCTTGCCTTCATTCAATTCCCCCCACCCTCCAAAATCACAATATAGTCTATTAATAGTTTTATTTCTCTGCAAACTGCAGAATTTGACTCTCTTGGTCAGTTTAGTTCTGAGGATGTATTTGTGTAATTTCTATTTTTTCTGCTTAACATTGAGCATTTCATTACTGGAGTTTCTTGTCAAATGCAGAATTTCAGTGCAGTTTATTTCGTAAGGAAAATGAGAAGTGGTCATATTCTAAACTACAAAACCCCTCTGTTCTTGATGCAAATTAGATGTGTGACAAGAGACCATTTCCTCTAAATGCCAAGTTTCTTATTCTAATTTACGTATAATGTCGGGGGAAAGTTTCAGTGTGTCATCTGTCCTGTCAAATCTCGTTAAATTGTGGTATTTTTTAAATTGTAATGTGGTTCCACTGTCATTTTAATCTGTCTGCTTCTGGCTCCCTAGGTGCCCTGTGGATGTGTATAGTCCTAAATCCCCACTGCAAGCCTGAACAGAAAGTGGGCTGGCTAAAACAGCTCAAAAAATGGAACTGTGTTGATGTTTGTCCCTGGGAGGATGGAAACCATGGTAATGAGCTGCCCAATTTAACCAATGCTTTGCCTCAGGGTGCAAATGCTAACCAAGGTGAGGATTCAAGTGGAGAATTGGTTCAATCAGCCTCAGAGGGGAGGTGGGGTGGGGAGATTGTGGTTTATTTTAGTTGCAGAGTGATTCTTTCATAAATAAACCTTTAATTACCCTTCAAAAGTTTCCAATTCTGAAATGGCCGTGCTTATTATTTCAGTGGGTGGAGATGTTTATTCTTCTCCCCTCCCCTGCAATTAATATCAATGTCTATCTGTGTGGGGGAGGGAACAATCTGGTGCCTTATTTGCAATTCTATAAATATTGGTTGGTGGGTTTCTCCCCCCCACAACCTATGTCACTTACGTGGCATTGCCTAATAAAGTGCCCATCTTATTCTCTGTAAACTAGAAATCAACTGCTATGGTAGAAATGTTTCCATACTCATTTGCCCCCACCACTATCACTAATTTTATGCTGAATTTCTCATTCCTCCCCCTCCCCCCACCGATTTTCTTAAATTACTTCCTTTCTCCCCCCCCCCACCCCAATTCTAACTGGTATGGATTAAACTAAAATTTTGGTGAGCGAGGTTAGATATTGGAGAGTTGAGTTTTATCACACTTTCCCCCTTTAAATTGAATTAGGCCGAAATGCATTCCTCAAGGTAACAAGGGTTGTTCTCGCAGATGAGCCTTTCTCTCTTCCCCCCAACAAAATTGTCCAAGGACAACACAGACCTGATACCTGTCTTTGCGACCACCCGAGCAAGTCTGGTGACCGGATCTCCTCTCCAGCCAGGCAAGCCCAGCCTGAGCCTATACATATATGCATATACACATAAGGGAGGAGAAGAGGGGTGCCTGGCTGATTTTTTTTCCTTCCCCTCCCCATACCTAGCCACTGAGATCAATTGTAACTCCAAATAGTGTGCCAATTTACTGAGATTAGCAAACTCAGCTCAGACTCAGCATAGACTGAACCCCAGACCTGTGTGAACCAGCTGTTCAATGGCTACGTTTACTGAGGGAGAGTCTGTAAACATCTGGTTTTAAGTCTGTATTTTTGTTGCGTTTTAATTTACATCCCTTTGAGATGTAGGTGATTTGAATGGTGCAAAAGTACAAATGTACATTTGTGTTTAAAAAAAATAACATATTTTGCAGACCTTTGTGTTCCTGTAATTGTAAAGCATGAAATAGAACAGTGCTCTGTGTTTGGGTGCTGTGTTTGGGTGCTCCTCCTTGGCTCAGCGTTTTCGGGAATGATCAGGTCCTGATAAGTGGGAGACCCCCCCCCCCGTAGTCAACAAGTGCTGGAGGAAGGAAAGGGAGGGATATTAGCATTGAGTTTTATGGCATTATCATTTGCACACCATGTGCGTTGGTGAAGGAAATGAACTGTCACAAGAGTGTGTATGGGTGTGTGTGTTCCTGTCTGTATTGCTAGTTCTGCCTTGTGCCGAGCACTGGGGGTAATGTCAACCTCAGTAAAAGCAAACCAACCAACGGCACCAAAAGCAAAAACCTGACTAACTCACCAATTGCAATTCTCTGGCAGATTCTGCAAACAGGCCTCATCGGACTGTGTTCACACGAGCCATCGAGGCATGTGATCTCCACTGGCAGGACAGCCATTTACAGCACATTATCAGCAGTGACCTCTACACAAACTACTGTTACCATGGCGACAGTGAAAATTCACTGTTTGACTCTCACGGGTGGCCCCTGTGGCACGGTAAGTGCCTAAACCGGAAAGACATTTGTATGACTTGCCCCCCCCTTTGTCCAGTTTCTATGGCACTGGGGGGGAAAATGAGAGGCCTGGCAGTGAACACACTGCCTGTGTTCAAGTGCTGGTTTAATGGAGGCTCCAATACTTGAGCACAAAAAATGTCTTTCATTCAGCTTCGAGCTATGGCAAGAGTTAATGTGTTTTTTTCTTTTCTCTCTCTTTTTGTTTTTTTCTCTCTCTCTCTCTGCTTCCTTCCCGCTCCCATCCAATTCTCTCCCCCCTTCTTCCCCCATCTAACTGTAGAACATGTACCTACAGCTTGTGCTCGTGTGGATGCACTGCGATCTCACGGATATCCCAGAGAAGCCTTGAGACTAGCAATAGCAATTGTCAGTACACTGAGACGGCAGCAGCAGAAACAGCTCGAAATGTTCCAGTCACAGAAAAAAGGTAAATGACAAAGTATCAGTTAACTTCAAGTCTCCCCTCCTGTCATAGGACCATGAGTAGGTCATTCAGCCCTTCGAGCCTGTTCCGACATTTAATTAGATCAAGGCTGATCTCAACTAATCCTTTCAATTCCAATTGTCCCAGCAATTCAATAGAGGAGGAAATTACTCACAGAATGTTACAGCACAGAAACCAGCCATTCGGCCCAACAAGTCTGTGCTGGTGTTTTTCTCCACGTGAACCACTTTAATCCCACTTTTCTGCTCACTCCTCATACCATTTAGTATTCATTTCCAAGCATCTGTCTGATTTACTTCACAAAAAGTTCATGGACTCTGGCTCAACAGAGTTTGTGGCAGAGAATTTCACATTCCAGTTGCCCTCAGTGAAATGTTTTCAAACCTACCCTTTACTGTTGCTGGTTCCCACTGTTGACTAAATTAAGGAAAAACTGTCAGAGGAAACTTTTTTTCTTAGAAAACGCTGCCGTGTTCGCCCACAAATATACAGTCAATTCACTTTACAGTATATTCTGTGAAGAGCTTTGGGACGTCTAGAAGACATGAAAAGCACGATATCAAATGCAAAGATTATTATTATTATTTCTTATCTCTCGTCCCTTCCGGGGTCAATATTCATGTATTTTGATGCTAAATGATTGGGGAAGAACAGTTGTCTCAGCATAGACTGAGCGAGATTCAAGCGTTGTGGGGAGTGCATTTTAACTTAGAAATAAACAATCTTTAGCATCTACACTGGTCCCATCTAACCTGTGTGGATGAACAATGAAGTGTATTTGAGAAAACAGAAATTAAACAAACATGGGTTACATAGATGTAACTGGATTGCGTTCCACAGCCTCACTTCTTGTATAAAGCTGGTTCCGGGCGTGTATCAGCTGATTGTATGTTTCCGTGTAACACATAGAGTTTCTTCACAAAGGAATAACGACGGTAACCAATCTGGAAGGATGGGTGGGTCACCCGCTGGATCCTATCGGCTGCCTCTTCAGCACATTGATGGATACTTGCAGGGTGGATGATGAAAGCTCCGGGTATTCTGAATTCACAGGTGTGCAAGCTCTTATTTATACCTCTCTTCACCTTCCGAGACTATTAATTGAACTCTTCGGAACAGATCGAAAAATTTCAAAATTTAGCTGTGTTCAGCTGTCTAAATGCATTGCTTTTAGGTTCTATGATGTGCCATATGAATTGGGTTATGTGTATCTGTACATGTACTGTGAAATTACAGGCACCCCTTACTTATATAATTAACAACCAAGAAAAGGATTTATTGTTAAATTAACCAACCTTTTCAGCAACAATTTGCACTTCTGTACCATGTTTCACATATGGAGACAATCTCAAAGTGCTTTACAAAGATAGTGGGAGTCCAGGATGTGGGGTAGGTGGAGATATCTGAACTCACAGTCAAAGAAAGAGGATCTTAAGACAGGATTTAAAAACCGAGAGGGTGAGGCAAGCTAGAGGAAATTAGGAATAGTGTTTCAGAAAATGGGGTCAAGGTAGCGGAAAAATATACAAAAATAATTAGAAGCTCAGTCCAGCAGTTACAGTATCTCGCACTATGAGGGTCATACTAATACAAACTAAGATGAGTATTCGAGCGTGTCCAGAGACCCTGATTTGTTACATCATGAGTTTAATTGATGGATTTCAATTACTTCCTTTAATGAAATCCATCAATGAAAACTTGTGATGTAACAAATCGGAATTGTAGACACGCTCCCAATACTCATCTTAGTTTGTATCAGTGAGACCCTCATAGTGTGAGATACAGTAACTGCTGGATTGAGCTTCTAATTATTTTTGTACATTTTTCTGCCACACCTTGACCCCATTTTCTGAAACACTATTCCTAATTCCCTCTAGCTTGCCTCACCCTCTCGGTTTTCAAAAGTTGTCTTAAAAACCTCATTCTTTTATTGTGAATTTGTATTTGCACATGGTTTAACGTTGCACATAATGCGCTTGTGTTGACATATAGCGCACAGTGGACTCCCAATTTCTTTTTACTTTAGATCTGTAATATCTCTCCGATATTGTTATCATGGTATGTGTCAAGTGTCTGTTTGATTTATCTTTGTCTGACAGCCCATTGATTGTAGCCCTTTGGCAGAGCGAGGGTGAGACAACTGGACATTAGGGAGTATTCATTTACGCTGATTGCCTAAAAGCAGCAACTGATTCTTTACAAAAAGATTTAACGCTACAAAGTCAAAGCAAACCTGGTTGAGTGGCATTGTTGACTAATTCTCAGTGCATGCAATACAATACAAAATTACATTTGTATAGCGCCTTTCAGGTCGGGAGGACGTCCCAAGTTCCTGAAGTCAGCTTACTGAATAATGTCTGCTTGTGAAGAAGTCTTGCAGGAGTGACAACACTGTTTCAGCCCACGGGTGGGCCGGGATGCATGGGCCATAGCCTCGACTGCCAGCCTTCTAATGCGAGCTTTGCCGGCTGTCAGTTTTTCTTTTCTCAAGGTGCTCCCTCCAGTGGCCTGGCCAAATATTCACTGAACCGCTCCACAGTCGTGCGAGCATTCCTTGGTTAGCCTGGCCTATGTACCTTCAGTTGGAAGATGAGATTTTCCGTATGATAATACAATCTGGATTATTGTAAGGAATCATTTAAAAAAAAATTGATAATAAACCTGCGTTTCTTAGTAATGAATTGGGTTTCAAGTTTAAACTTCGTAGTTTGTCATCTTGCCTCACATGGTTGCTAATGATAGAATCCATCAGTTGCTTAGACCGCAGTTTATATTCCATAATTACTTGAAGTGCGGTGTGAATGTCAAAGTTGCAGTGTACAGCCTTCGTGAAATTGACATAGATTTAGATAAGGTGCCTTTTCCATTTTCCTCTCCTGCCTTCCTGTCCACCCTCATCCCGGTTGCAGTCTCTTGATTGAGAGAATGGACTTGTTCTGGGGCAAATTAACCAGCTGCTAGGTGGTGCATCAGTATTGGCTGGTAGAGAATTACTTCTCTGGGTTTTCTGTTTTCATTCCTTTTTAAAGCCAAGATAATTGCTATCAACATCTCCATTATTATAACGTGCGACTATCAAGATGATAGAAGGTGAACTAGATGGGCCTTGGGTTTTTTTTTGTCTAGCAATTCCAATGTTCCTATTCATTGTAATGAAAGCTGGTTACAGATTTTAAGATGAGTCTTTCGAATGTTAAATGGCTTTCGTCCGATACATTGATGCAATGGTGTGTGCATTTTGTTTCACAGAAAACATGGGCCAATCGAAATCTCTAGACTACCATCACCTGCCGGCGCACAAATTCTTTGAACACGGTGAATCTTATTTAACTTTAGCTGTGGAAATTGCTCTGATTGGACTGGGCCAACAGCGAATAATGCCCGATGGCTTGTACGCCCAAGAGAAAGTGTGTCGTAATGAGGAACAGCTCATTGCGAAGCTACAGGAGATAGATTTAGATGACATGCTCGTGAAAATATTCCGAAAACAAGCAGTCTTCCTGTTAGAAGGTAAATTTTAGCCATTGAACCACCTTCCGTCTATTTTGTTAATCCTTTTGGTGTTTACATTTTTCTGAAATTGATCATTCGGACAAATGGATCCTTTTTTTGTTTCATTTCACCTTTTCCAATCTGGTTAGCAGTCCTCCAGGTAAATGGATCATTGACCTCATAACTGTTTGCAGGACTTTGCTCTGCGCAAATTGGCTGCTGTATTTGCCTACTAATATACACTCACTATACTTTATAGCAATTGCCGGTGAAGTGCTTTGAGGAATTTCAGCGTCATAGGTGCTGTACTATATGCAAAGATTATTTTAATGCATGAATAGTCACAGTTGTTTCCCATACTCTGATAGCAATTTGTCAGGATACAGGGAAGAAAGACATCCCTGTAAAATGTTAGAGAGAGAAAAAGAAAACCTGAAATAAAATATTGGCAATGTCAGAGTGCGTCAATAAAAAGCACCCTTTTCTTAGCTGTCACCCAGTAATACAAAGTGATAACTCTTCTGTTCACATGCTTGATAGACCTGCTGAGAATTCCCTACATTTTTTGTGTTTCTGTCTTATTTTTTCCCCTTCTCTGCCAAAATCTCTCCTCCAATCTATCTCCCTCCTCTTTGTCGAAAGGTGTTTGATTCAAGCACCCATTTGTACCATCGTTGTACCACTAAATGGCCACTATTCATTTTTGACTATAGGTGGGGAGTGTTGGTAGGGTATTCAATTGATGTTGAGTCCAGTCCTGCCCTTGTCTGACATGCAAACTGGGTGTTTTTGAATAATGAGCAAGAGTGTTGACGTATTTTCCCCTATTTAAACCAGGGGCATTAAGGCTAGCTGTAGCTAACTCAGCACAAACTGTGAATCGATCCGGCGAACCTTCTAATCTTTAAAGCTTGATGTTGCAACAGGTGACATATTTGCCCACCAGGCCATTGGGTTAGGGGGAGAGCTTCAATTACCATTGTTTGCTGAAGGTTAGGAACGTTTTTTTTTAACATGCACACAGAGAGGGTGGTTGGAATGAGGAATGTTTTTTCACACATGCTGTTCAAGGTAAGTCTGTGATTTAAGAGGGAATTGGATAATTACTTGAGGAAAAACAACATTAAAGGCTGTGGGGAAGAGCAAGGGAACGGCATTAGATTAGATGATAGTTCGCTACATTGGGGGAATCCAGCACTAGCACAGAAACAAATGAGCCGAATGCCCTTCTGTGCTTGTAAACATTCTGTGATTATAGGTTATTTGTTTTGCAATTTTTAGGCTAAATTGCATTTTATCCATCTACAGGTGGGCCGTACAGTGGCCTGGGTGAAATAATTTATCGAGAGAGTGTTCCGATGCACACCTTTGCCAAGTATCTCTTCACATCTCTGCTACCTCATGATCCAGAGCTGGCGTACAAGATTGCACTGAGAGCAATGCGGTGGGTACTGCTAATGGTTGTGCAGCTCGGGGTTTCCATACTTAATTGATGTGTAAGAAAAAGCTTGCGTGTCTACACCTTGATCCAGTGAATGTGTGTGTGTGTGTCAGTGGGGGAGGGGTGTGGGGGTGATTGGGGGTAGAAAATGCTGCGGTTGCATCGTGGCTTCAAGAAATCCAATCTGTCTGTCAGCTCTGATGCTGCTGTTGCAGAATCGGGCTACGTTTCAGCTGGAGAGTTGGCAATTTCAGACGGTGCTTAATCACAAAGTGGCCTTAACCGAACCCTTGCTAAATTATTCATAAGTACTGGAAATGAGATTTTAGAAAATGTGTGAATAATAAATACACTGTATTAGATTTGATCGCGACCTCAGAATCCACTAAGATTTTCACGTTTGCACAGGGCTTTCCTCTCCCCTGTGCTGTTCAGCAGGACACTAGCTGCCTGCTAGCTCTGACTGATGGCCTTTTACATTGGCATTAAGTGGTGGACGGAAATCGGTGTTTTGCTGTGTGACTGCACGGTAGAAATGATGACTTGCAACTTCCTTAATAATTGAAAAACTCCAATGATGAAATGTTGAATGTACGTTTTACTCGCTGACTGTGCTAGTGGTGAGGGGGCGGGAGAGAGAGGAGTTGTCTGTTAATGTGTTCAAGAGGATGGTTCTATATACTTGATTCAGATTTCATTCTTCTGACGTTCCAAAGTGTTTCCCATTAAAGGATGCTTCCCAGAATGTGAACCACAAAGCACATTCTCAAAAAGTAAAGGGTCCTTTCTGGGCCCCATAAACCCATTCTTCAGCTTTCTGGCAAAGTAAGATATCTCTGTGGCTGCCAATGAGAAAACTATGGCCTAGCTCATTCCATCTGAATTTGGACGTCATCTTGGAGCCAGCTCAGCTCTCAGGAGAACCTCTTACTTCCCCACCCACCTTCCCTCAAGGAGGATAGTAACTCATTGGCCATTTGACATTCAACAGCACAGGTTTGAGCCCTCACTGGATGGATAGCAGGTACTAGAAACTCGCTGCAAGTTTCCAATTTAGCAGAGCAGCTCAGTGTGAAAGATGTGAGAGCATTGCCACAGTTCTCCTGCCCACAGCTAAAGGTTTATGTTTTGAGTGTAGGAACATGCCTCAAAGCTGACTTGACATAGATTTGGGCGGTTTAGTTAAATATGGCTTGCATCCGAGACTGGAAGCTCTTTGCCCTTTGGACAAGCTATATCTACTACCATGCACTTGTTACTCTTGTTTGTCGTCCTACCATACAGTCACAGTAATCAATGAACATCTGGAGTTGGAACCACAAACAAATGGCGGAGTTTGTTTCATAAGGAATTTAACCTCCAACATCAAACCCTCCCAATCCAGTGGTGGCCAACCTTTTTGGATGTGTCATACACCACTGACTTTCTTGGTTGGCCACAAAATAATCATAGAAACAACAAAATAACTTAGATTTATGCCATACATCAAGAAATATTCAATCAAGAAACATTTATTTTGTTAGCCAACCAAAGAAATTGGCTCCCACTGCTCCAAATGAAGGTGAATCCTCCTCTTTTAGGGGTTGTATTTAATTCTGCAGCAATCCCTCATTCCCTGGCTTTGTGAGGTACTGTAGTTTTTGTTTTGGTCAGCTGGTGTCTGATATATGCAGAAACCCATCATCATGCCTAAGAGCATCCAAGCCAGACTGAGAGTGACGCATATGCATATCAATGCTGAGTTGGCTGATCTTGGTGTTGTCAATCTGACTCAATGGGTTCAAGCCCCACAAAGGGATTTTGAACTTATATAGTTTAGGCTGACACTCAAATGCAGTGCTCAGATTTTCAGCATTTCGAATGATATGTTAAAACTGATGTTAGAAAGATGTTAAATCATTGCGTCTGTTCAGGTGGATGTTAAAGATCCCAAGACATGAGAAGGTAATTTCTCCTGGTGTCCTAGCCAACAATACCCCATTCACTTCATAACTGTTTGTTGGGAAATTGCTGTGCATAAATTGGCTGCTGTGTTTACCTACTAAAATACAGTCACTGTACTTTACGCTAAAACCTGTGAAGCACCTGGAAATGTCCGCCCGACATGAAAGGCACTGTACCAAATGTAAGGATTATCATTATTATAATGTTCTCAGAGAGATTTGTTAAACTGTGATCTATCAGGTGCATGTCACGTGCAGGGCAGCTTGTTGCCATTACTCTGGACTTTGTTGTTTCTCAGTGTTAAAATGAACTGCTTGGTAATTTCATTTTGCAATTTGAAAAGTATCTAGACACTGGTAGAGCAGGATATTGGGAGCTAAAAGTACTATCGGCCTCCAGTATTTTGTTTTTTCTTTCGTGGTTGTCAGTTTATTTGCACTGTGGGAGATTAAGAGTAAATAGATTAATATTCACCCATTACTGTCTTGATGTAATGTTCTCATGGGACCCAAGTCTAAAATAACTGCGCACATGAGATTTTAATGTTTGCTCCATGAGCAAAGCTGAAGCACAAAATTGCTCAGTGCTTTTAAAGTCGTGTTCAATGGTCCATTATGCAAATTCTGTTGTATTTTTTTCCATATTCTTTAACAAATTTGTAACGTGTTTTGTGTTGCAGTCATTGTAACCTGTCCTTGTTTGCTGCAAGTTACTTTTTGAAGTCCTCTCTGCTCCAACTTTCACTTGTACCCCTGATCAATTTGCTAAATTGATGAAAAGCAAATTATGACTTGTGGCTTGCTGGCTAATGTGCGAAACAGTTGATTTCCAAAAAGCTATCACATTGACAAAATGCAGTCTCCCTGTGGCAGTGTGTTTTGCTCATCAACCTTTTAGCGCAAATTGGTGTCTTTTTAGAAATTACAGATTTAGAATTAGCCATTTTGCAAATATGACAAATTAGACGGCAGAACAGAAATCAACTGTAGCACTTGCCATCCATTTTACAAATCGGAGGTGGCCCCGTTATTACATGGTTGGCTGGTCCAATGTCTCAGTGACTGTATTGTAAGCAAAACGTGAAAAAAAATGGGAGAATTCTGGATCATCAGGTTGCTTTTAATATCACTTTCTATGCGAATTAATATGAGCAAGGCATGGGACTTAACTGCAGCACTTCCTGCACATAGTAAGAGGATGAGACATGAATCTGAGGTCCTGTCTGCCTATTGCAGTGGACATTAAAGATCCCATGGCACTATTCAAAAAGAGAAGGGAGTTTCTCCAGGTGTCCTGGTCAACATATCCCCAAATAAAATTGGTCATTCACTCCAAGGCTGTGTGTGGGACACCTTTCACTTTAGGAGGATCCCAAAGTGCTGGACAGTCAGTGTTTCGGACCCATGGATCCTGTGAATTGCTTTGAGACATCTCAATGGCATGATAAAGATGCTATATCAAATGCAAGGATTATTATTATTAGCACAGCAAAAAGGAATTGATGACCCACTAGTCATTGGGAAATTGGCTTTCATTATCACCAAAAGCCAGATCTATGGATAGCTTGGAAAAGCAGCAAGGCAGCAATATGTTAAAGCAAGTTATAATGCGACTCCCCTCTTTTGCAAATGACTTCCTATTGTCCCAACTTGGGACATCCTCCCGACATGAAAGGCACTCTAAAATGTAATTGTTGTTGTTTGCAGTGGACTGAATCCAAGGTGCGATAACAACAAGTGAGTCCCAAGAAAGTGATGTTAAAGTTTCCTGGCTCTATCTAGTGGCAGCCAAGTGGAGGCTCTGCTCCATTTCTTGATCAGGCTGCTGTTTTGCAGCTTCCTTAATCAGGTTAACATACATGCACTTGATTGAAAGCTATCAACTACCTCCAAGCTTCTATGTTTATTTTGAGACAAGTTTTTTGAAGAGTATCAGCAAAATGCTGGACCACTTCAGTCTTATTGTATAAACATGTAAAACAAAGACTTCCAGAACAACAACAACTTGCATTTATATCGCGCCCCTGGCACAGGATAGCGTCCCAGAGCACAGAAGGAGGCCATTCAGTCTATTGTCTACCCAATGCTTTTTTTTATCAATCTCACCCAACAGCTCTTTCTCCATATCCCTTAATGTTTTATTGCTCAGAGTGTTTTGGATGATACGGATGCACACATATGTACAATCCAAAGCATTTAAAGCTCTTTGAGGAACGGTAGTCAGCCAACTTGCAATACACACTGAATCCTCTGAAACAACCTACCATGACAGCTCAGGTACCAGTATTGGTCCTGGAGGACTAAGATATTATGGACTCCCAAAAGACAGAAGAGAAGCAGTTTGCTTACTCAAACGTACATGTGTTTAATGCAAGCTAGTACTTTCTTGTTCCCAGCTCCTTCAATTGGAAAATTGCTGCAGTCAGGGATTTTAATTGTGTCCTTGACCCTACTATGGATAAATTACTTTCAAGGAAATACAAGCCCTCCAATATGGCTGGCACCATATCCATGCTAATTACTAGGTTTTATGGTTGCCTAAAGATCTTTGTACCCCAGAGGGAGCAAAAAATAATTTTATTTCGCAACATGGAAGACTAACTCCTAGTAGAATATTTTTTCTGACCTCTAACTCTTGCATGAAATCACTTACGTGTGTGTAGTTCCACATATATCTCTGGCTCGATTAGTTTCTCCACCGTTATGATCACATGTTAATTTATCTTGTGTAATATAATAATAATCCTTGCATTGATATAATGCTTTATCACATCATTGGGACAACTCAAAGCTCTTCACAGAATATTCTGTAAAGTGAATTGACTGTATATTTTGTGGGCAGTGTATAATTATAATTAAATTATATTCTTATTGTTATGATTGTATATTTTATAATTTTTTTGGAAGGATTATTACCCCCAGAAAGTAATTTGCCAATCAACTAACAATCAGGTTCCTACTTTGCTAGGTAAATTGGGAGATGTGATAATTTATGCCAAGTTTAAAAATTTCTCAGTTTTAAAAGCATTCTGTCTCCCTGTCCCCTTCTCTGCTGCCGCTGCTACTTTCCCTCCCCAAAAGTTAATCTGGTTGGGAATGCAGTGACTGAGATGACTTATTGTGTAATATTACAAGTTTAAAAAAAAGGTACATTCACACACTGTGGAAGTGGGAATTGGGGAATTGTGCAATCAGCACCAATGTTGTTGCACACAGCTTCTGCTCATCCCAAATCGAAGAAAATTGGATACACCTATTAAGATAAATGTCTGTATCCCAGTTTGTGTTTTGCTGAAGTTCATTTCTATGAATACCCAGCTATAGATTATACAAGGGCATGAGGCAGAGGTAGCCGTTGCCAGCTATAATGAGGAGCAGTGGTTGGTGCATCATGCCCAGGATTATAAGATGGGCCAATTGAAAAGTGTGGAAATATTTACTAAAAATTTCAGGGAAAGTTGATTGTTGCTATGGAGGTACATTTTACTCCCAACAAACATTTATTTATTGATAAAAACTAAATATGAGTAAATAACACATTAGATTGTTGCAAAACGTTTTTATTAATTTCTTCTTTAACAAAAACTGGGGGCCCATGGGGTGGGGAAAGGGGAGACACCAGCTCAGCCCAAAGAACCTGGAAATCCACCAAAAACAGACACTCAGGACAGAGACCTCCTGCCCCTCAGGGCCCAACACCCCACAGAGAGAGAGAGAGACACACACAGACACGCACACTCAGAGACCGAGTGAGACACACACTCAGACACATAGAGAGACACATACACACTCACACAGCACACTCATAAACACAGAGCGACACATTCATACAAACACATGGAGAGAGAGAGACGCACATACTCACAAACACATAGAGAGAAAGACGCACACAAATACGGGGGGAGAGAGAGAGAGAGACAATCACAATAGCGCGGCCTCTGAGTGAAGCAAAGCCCATTTCCCGGTTGCTCTGTACCACGAATGGTATTCCAGAGCCACTCCACCCACAGTGACGCCAGATAAACAGCCGGCAGAGTGCCAGCTCCGATTTTGCTTTGCCGACCGTTGGGGGTCGCTCCTCCCAGGTCCGTGTCACCACCTTGCCGGCCCTGGGTGATGGTTCTAGTATTGGTGCCTGGTCTCTCGCAGGTCTGCGCAGTACTGCTCTAGCCGCTGCGCCACAGTGAGGGCAGATAAACAAACAGCGACAGCAGCGCGGGAGACCTGGGGCCAGAAACTACATTTCTAGTGGGTTTATAGTGGTTTCAGCGGAAACATTGCAGCCAAACTTTTCTATTGGCCCAGGTTATAACGTTGAATCATTCTGCAGACAATCTGCTAAATGTCATCGTCTCCTGTGCTGTGAAATGAATTCACAAGGTTGTCAGGGTTTCAGCTAAAGTAATGCTCTTGACGCATCACATCCTCTTTCCATCTTCTCACCCATCTCTGCCTCTACCTTTTCTGTCACATTGTCATTTACTAAATTACGATACTCAAGCATTTTATTGTTAGCATTGGATTGTGATTTGTGTAAATGAAAAGAATTAATTTGCTTTTAGACTCGACTGCTTAAGATGGTTGTATGAATTGTAAGATATTTAGGGTCCATTCATTGTAATACCTTTTACTGTAACAGCGCTTCTGTTAGTCAACCTAATAGTGTTTCCTGTTTGACATGTGGGGCTCTCACAAATTACAGTTGTACTTGAAGCTGAAACGAATCAAAGTTTCAGAATACTGTTTCATGACCTTTTCGCTGTCAATTCGTAGGCTGCCAGTATTGGAATCGACAGCACCAACGGGAGATGTGTCACGTCCGCACCACATTGCATCTGTTGTCCCAAACCGCTATCCACGTTGGTTCACTTTAAGTCACATTGAGTCCCAGCAGTGTGAGCTGGCTTCTACAATGCTAACAGCTGCTAAAGGTAAACCATCACTTTTAATTCACTCATGAATTCAAATGGGAAAACTAATGCTCCAGCTTCATCCCAGGTGCATGTTGCTTGTAGCTGAACTGCCCTAATCACAAGTGCTTACAATAAAAAAGTACTAATTGACACTCGTCTAAATGTTTTTTTAATGAATATGGTGATGCAGTATTGTATGTTTGGCTCCCTGAGTGGTTAGCTGAATATTCGTAACCCATAATGCTGAGTTCCCATTAATACTGGCCAAATGGAAGCCAGATAGTGTCTTAGAAAGATGGAATACTTGTGGGTCAGACCTAGGGTTACTTTAGTACAATTCCTACTTATGTTGGTAGAGGTCTGCGCCTTGACCTCTCACCCAAGGGCATTTGCAGGGATGGCGTGGAAAAGAATGGGTGGCATTGCCTTAAATACGTGTTGATATTGAATTATCAGTTCAATCCTTAAAGGGTTAAACAAGATTATACACCCTTTGTTTTCAAAGGTCTAGGAGTAGCAAAACGGAGAGTGTTTGAAGTGGGGGTGGGGTTTTGAATAGGTAGTGGTGACGGGATTTGCTCTGGGAAGCGTGGGCGGCTTTCAGCCCTGCTAAGTTCATATGTTTTTGGTTACCTCTTACTTTAATTGTTATAAACCTTATTGGACTTGAACTGTGATGAACCGCTGCATGGAATGACTGTTTGCATTTGGAACTAGTTAATCTGCCGCTGTCCGTGTAGATATTTACTGCAGACGTAATCTATTCAACAAATGATCATGTGGAAGTGATTCAGAGAAGTTAGTTGCAAGACTGTTTTATATTCAAAATAATTGTTGCATGAAACTAGTTCAATTTTGCAATGTGTAGACATTAAAAAATAAGTTTTTTTAAACTGATTAAGAATTCATGTCCTTTGGAGTTTTTAAATAGTTTTTGCATGTGTTTTATGGAGAAGTCAAGTGGATTAAACAATGCTGTTTCCTTTCAAATGATTTCAGGAGATGTTATGAGGCTGGAAACAGTGTTAGAATCTATTCAGAAGAACATTCACTCCTCGTCGCACATCTTCAAGCTTGCCCAGGATGCATTTAAAATAGCAACTCCCATAGACAGTTTGCCTGACATTACTCTGCTCAAAGTGTCCCTGGAGCTGGGTCTTCAGGTAAGGTGGTAACTGCATAGTTGTGCTGCTGTAAGTTGAAAGAGAACACCATCAATCTCGTTTACGAGATGCGAATAAACTTTTAGAGGCTGTTATCAATGAATAAACAGTGATGTCACTGTGCAAATATCACAAATACAATAAGGCCATTCTACAATCTGTCCTCAAAATGCAAGCTTTGGGAATCACCAAAAATGTGTTGCCAAACGATGCATTATCCAGCAAGACGTTTATTTGACATTTTAGTTTTATAATAAAAGTACTTTATAATAAAAATTCATTATTCTTCCTTTGTGCTAAACTACAATTACATAATAATAATGCTTGCATTTGATATAGCGCCTTATCACGTCTTCGAGACATCTCAAACCGCTTCACAGAATATACTGCAAAGTGAATTGGACTGTATATTTTGTGGGTGAAATAGTTACATAACGAGAAGTGCTCTCCCTACTCTCACCCACAAGTGTGTGAGCCCAGAGAGTGAGTGACAGGAAGTTGCAATTCAAGCCTGATCTTATCTCTCCCCTCTTGACATCTGTGCATGGGCGCTTTCCAGCAGGGCCTATGCATAGCAATCAGAACTGGAACCCTGTCCTCTCTCTCTGTTTTTCCTCTCACTATTCCTCTCTCACTATCTCTCTCTTTTCCAGGTTACTGAGACCAATTGTAACATCCCATTCCTGCCCTGGATGAGATCTGCTAATTCAACATAATCTTGGGTTCAGCCCTATCTGTATTGCTCACTTCTATATTAAGTAACATCTTCAACTGAGCCACAGGAGAGCCAGCCACAATCAATATTGCAGTGAGGGTCAGGGGCTACTGTGTAAATGTTATAATCTCAACTCATTTTACTCATTTTTTGAAATGTGGAAAATTCTAAAAATATATATATTTTTGAAAAACTTGCACAATCCAATAAACTGCATAATACTTAAAATAGACAAGGAGCTCAAACATAGCTTTAACTCCATTCTGGAACACTGACTGCGTGTCCCTCAGAGAGAGTCCTGTTGACCTGTGCTGGGAGGGCAGCTCCAAGGCGAGTTGGGGGTTGCTGGCTTGGACCTGTAAAATCCTCACCATTCTCCATCACCTTCCTCAGAGCAGCTTTTAGGAATTCAGCATTGATGCCGACTTGCCATTGTCAAGGTACTGCAGTGCGGGGTCCACCTCCTCCCAATGGATTGGGTTATTGAGGCCTTCAGTCTAGCCCACGTCTCTTGCCAGCTCCTCCAGCTTCAACAACAGATAGGTCTCTGCCTGTTGGGTCAGACGCCCACTCTGCGTATTTGCTTCTTCCAGACCCTCATGTGTCTGTTGTAGACAGTGGAATTGTCCAATACTGGTACGTGCCCCTCCAGCCATGGCCGACGACAGACTTCAATCAGTGGAAGAAAGATTTGGGATTGTCTTTGTTCAATTGCACCCCTTTTTGGAGTGATGCAGCCCATTGATCTCACTTCATTTCTCTAATTTCCTAGCTTCATGCCGTGCTTGGTTGTAAGTTCTAGCTGCCCTGTGCACGTATCTTTCTATTGAAGGTCTGTAAAAAAAAAAGGCACTCGTCATCCATGCCCTTTTGTGCTGTACCATGTGATGGGAAGCTGAGTCTTGATATGCAGTGTCCTTGGTCCCTGCTATCACAACTGTCTGTTCAAAATCTCCCTCCATGTAGACCATACATTGTCTTTGCTGCAGTTCTAGCTTGCTCAGAAGAAGTTTCCAGACTTGCAGTTTTGTGAAAATGTGCTTTTGCTTTTGAAGTTTACTTTTCCAGTTCTTGATGAGAGCAAAGGTCTTCAGCTTTCCCCTAATGGCTCTCCTTCCCTTTGTCCTTAGTAACTTGACATGGCCCCACTTCTGAGATGGCTGACTTGCAGGCTGTAGCTTCAATTTCTTTAAAACCTCAGCTGCAGAAGCAAGAAAGTCCTTGGCTGCATCGTCAATTGAGGAGTTGGCGCTGTCAGCCCTCACACAGAATCGATCGCAGGTTTCATGTTCGGCAATCCCGCTTGCATGCTGGAGTGCCTTATTATTAGAATTACAAATTAAAATTACTAATTAGAATTAAAATTAGAATCACTACAGTCAACCAATATGGTTAGACAGAGTAGAAAAATTAAGGCTCCTCTGACCTGAGGCCGGTTCTAATAAGGAATCACATTTATATATGAAAGTTAGTTCATGATCTACAATCCATGGTTAAATACATTGTTAGTATCCAACAACAAGTTGTATTTATATAATGCATGTATCCTATGTTCAAATTCTGAACATAGGGTATATGCAGAACACTGTTTGTGGGACACTGTTGTGCGCAATTGGCTGCCGTGTTTCGCCCACAAATATACAGTCAATTCACTTTACAGTATATTCTGTGAAGCGCTTTGAGACGTCTGGAAGAAGTGAAAAGCGCTACATCAAATGCAAGGATTATATACATTATACCTTGGTACGATCACTCGTAGCATAAGCACATCGAGGCTCCAACCTGACAATCACCCCATGTCACAGGATCAGCACCAAGGGCTGCCTTCTTGACACTAAAGGTGAATGGCCAGTGGTCAGAGGTTTTTCAGGGATGTTGATCAATGCAATTGAAGACCACGTGATCAATTGCTGTTCCGTTCTGCACTCCGCACCAATGCCTTGGAATGGCAGCAGAGAGCACCGTTGTCAAAAGAGTCTTGTTCCGGTTTTGAAATATTCCAATCTCCCATAAGGAGCAACAGACAGTCAGAGAACCATTGTGCGAGGATACCCAGCAAGGGGCCCACAGTCTTAAGGATCCCCCAGGGCTCAGCACCCAGCAGCTTTTGGGGAATGTACACTGATTCCCAGGGTGCAGATCCCGAAAAGAGTATCTTCACTGTAGGAGGGTGTGGGTCAAGCCCGAAAACCAAACGTGCACAGTATTAACAAAAAAAAGGTTTATTTTAACAAGGAAGCTCTACCTCGGTCTTCTCCAGACTCTCCTCTCGCACTCCCAGGCCACCTGGCACAGATGACAATCCCGGGTTGAGCTATAGATCACAATGCCATCTGAATGGCCTGATGCATATCCCAGGTGGGAGTGCTGGAAGGTGTCTGGAGCTCCATAGAGTCCAAAGGGCATTGTAGTGAAGTGGTATAGCCCAAACAGTGTGGCAAACGCAGTCTTTCGATTGCTGCTTGTGCTTCTCTTGTCAAGAATGGCTTGTTACAGGTGGCCTACTGGTCTGAGTGATAGCTACCCTTTCAACAATTGTGAAGAAGGTTTCGGGATTGTCATACTGCCCCATTTTGGCTAGCAGCCTACCTGGATTAAGACATACTGGGTCAGTAGCTTCTCCCGGACTCTGAGCAAGGAGTGTAAGATTTGTTGTTGGAATTGTTGTTGTTGTTGCTGCGATGCCACAAGCTGGTTCAACAGTTGCTCCATTCTTACTGGTTTTGGTTTTCTTTCTATGTGCAAGTCACAGTTCGCAAAAAGTCAAAAGTTGCTCTGAGCCAAAGGCGATCCCACTTTTGACATTGTATGTAGGAGGGCGTCAATCATGCCTAATAAACAAAACTTGTACAATGGTTTTTTTTACAAAAGAAAGTTTATTTTAATGAGACAGCTCTACATTATCTTCTCCAGACTCTCTCCTCACACCCCCAAGTCTCCAGCTGTATACTAGTGCTTGATGATATCTTGGGGCTGGTGCCCAATTATCACAAACTCCAATCAAGCCTGTGTTGTTTAGCAATGGAATCGAGCCTGATTATAGTACAACCCTTGTTACTTCTCTTTATATGTAGGTTGATCGGCAATAATCATAAAAGGCAGTGACTTCATTTATCTCCGTCACATTAAGATAATGTGAAACTCACTGCCTGAAACAGTGGTTGAAGTAGAGGAAAGATGTGTTTAAGAGGAAGCTAGATATACACATGAGGGAGAAGAAAATAGAAAGGTATTTGAGGGAGTAAGGAGTGGGACTCATTTTGAGTATAATTGGGGCACTGACTTGGATCTATGTAAATTATGTAACCTGCCACCAAAATGATGCTGTGAAATGCAACATTGTGCTGTTTAGCAATGGAATTGCCAAAATGTTAGAATTACTGAAGTTTATTTTACACACTCCAGTGAAGTGCTTTGGAAGTGCTGGATTGTTGGTGATGCTGTCCTTTGGATGAGACATTAAACCAAGTTCCCATCTGTCTGTTCAGATGGATGTGAAATACATAGTCGCTGCACTTTGAGATGTGAAATGCGCAATATCAAACAAAAAGATTATTATTAGCTGCTTTTAAAACTGAATTTTCAAACCTTGTGTTGCAGGTAATGCGAATGACACTGTCGACATTAAACTGGCGCCGACGTGAAATGGTGCGGTGGTTAGTAACATGTGCTACAGAAGTAGGTAAGTCAAATCCACACCCCAGGGATTTACACTGAATAAAAACTATACTGGTGCAACAGAACAAACTCAGCTCAGCTTATGATCCCAAGAACTAGGTTCCTGTCTTAAAACTTGTTTAATAAATCCTCCATTTTCTAGTTTTGCTTGATGCTACCCGAATTGAGTGTACAGATTTTTATAACCATCTGTTTAATGTACCCAAAGCTACTGTTCTTCAGATATTCACTTTTTTTAATACATTTAGTAGTATAAAAAGAATTGTAAAGTCTTCTCGGTCTTCATGTCCTAAAATTGACAGACTTTTAGCATCAAAAGGTCAGTTGAGTGTTTTATTGGCACTGAAAGAAAAGAGCAGAGCATTCTAAGTCCATCTCTGAGAATGGCTTCCTTTGTGCCCAATGGTGTAGATATTGGACATTGTTCAAGGTTTCTGCTCTGAATGAAGTATTATCGGTCAAAATGGCTGAGATCTTAGATCAGCAACTCGAGGGAGATTAAATAGCAGGAAGTTCATTGCTGTGTGTCCTAAGTTGTTCAACAATGATGCATTTATCTTGCAACTGCTGACAAGAGCAGATGTCCTGGATCAGAGCCTAAAAGTGTGCACTGGTTCACCGCTCCATTGGGTATCCACGTTGGGCATCCCCATATATTCTGGAAGGAAAATTTTTACTGATTCTGAGCATGTGCTCATCGCACAAAGCTGGCCATAAAGATAACTGTCTGGGAAGTGAACCAATTCACTGGTGTGCACAATTTGTGTATACATGGGTGTGTAAGACATTGGTTGGCTGCTTTGAGAAAATTAAGTTGGATTGTATTTGGGCTTGGGGCTGTTATCCAGAGAGATACTGGGGGATGCACTGCAATGTCACCTTAGGATGGTCTGAATAGTACGTATGGTCAATCCAATGCAGTCCTGGGAGAGCTGCATTGTTGGAGGCTGCCATATCACCTTATGGTCTGAATAATACGTAGGCAAGAAACGATTGCATAAGAATATTAAAATTAGAGGTTTCACCCTGGCTCAGTTGGTAGCACTCTCGCCTCTGAGTCAGTAGGTTATGTGTTCATTCCTCCTATCTGGCTATTGAGCTCATAGACTAGGCTGACAATCCAATGCAGTCCTGGGAGAGCTGCATTGTTGGAGCTGTCGTCCTTCGGATAAGGCATTAAACTGAGGTCATATCTGCCTGATCAGGTAGAAATTATGAATCTCATGGCACTATTTGAAAAAAGAAGGGAATATCCCCAGTGTCCTGGCCAAGAATCCCCTAGATAAAAAGGTTTGGATAATCTTCAGTAATGGAATGCATTTCTGCATGTCAGACACCCAGCTGACCAAAAAAAAGGAAAAATAAAATTCCTAATTATCTATTCTGAATTTTTCTTTCATTTCTATTCACTGGAGTTACTTTGAAGTAAAAAATCTCTATACCCTTTAATGTTTGATATACTTTGACAAAGCTTCCCCAACTCCCTCTTTCTAGATTGTAAGGCTTAAGCTTCTTTAATCATTCTTCCTAGCTCATCCCTTTTACCCTTGGGATCAGTCTTGCAGTTTTTAAACCTCTTCTATCTCATAGGATTACAATTTCCAGAATTAAACCAGGATAAATTCCACTTGTACTTCAGAATGTGCAGATTTCCTTGGAGGTTGCTCTTGTTCCTTCAAAGATCCATTGGACCTATAATGTTCCTGGCCCCATTACATTAGGCATTGTAATTACATTACATTGGTGATTAAATTGTAGTCTTAACCTATCACGAACCAAAGACTGATTTGCTTATGGTCATGGGAAAGATTTGACAGCAATGTGTCCCTTTTCATCGTTTGTTGTTTCAGTAACATAATTATACCTAAAACAATTCCTTTACCATATGCACATCCATAATTTCTTCTTCTTCTTCTTCTTCTGCTTCTGCTTCTTCTGCTTCTGCTTCTTCTTCTTCTTCTTCTTCTTCTTCTTCTTCTTCTTCTTCTTCTTCTTCTTCTTCTTCTTCTTCTTCTTCTTCTTCTTCTTCTTCACGGTTTGATTACAATCCTTGGAAAGTCCAGAAGATTCTAGGTCAAGATAAGTGCTAGAAGAATGTGTGTACTTTACAAAGTATGAGTACCAGTCAATGCTCAAAGAATTAACAACAAGACTGTTTGACCCATTTCCATCCTTCATAATGTTCATCCAGTAAAAATCTCTTAACTCCTTTGTTTTCTTTTTAGGAGTTTACGCGTTGGACAGCATTATGCAGAGCTGGTTTACACTATTCACTCCAACCGAAGCTACCAGTATTGTTGCCACTACAGTAATGTCCCATAGCACAGTTGTTCGATTGAACCTGGACTACAACCAACGGGAGAAACTGGCCAGTAGTGCTAGGACACTTGCGCTGCAATGTGCTATGAAGGATCCTCAAAACTGTGCCCTTTCAGCCCTAACCCTGTGTGAAAAGGACCATATAGCTTTTGAGACTGCTTACCAAATAGTTCTAGATGCTGCCACAACTGGTATGAGTTATACACAGCTCTTCACAATTGCTCGATATATGGAGCATCGTGGTTATCCTATGCGGGCCTATAAACTAGCCACCTTGGCAATGACGCATCTCAACCTGGGTTACAATCAGGACACGCACCCTGCCATTAATGACGTCCTATGGGCATGTGCACTTAGCCACTCCCTTGGGAAGAATGAGCTAGCAGCTATTATACCTCTGGTGGTCAAAAGTGTTCAGTGTGCTACAGTACTTTCAGACATTCTACGCCGGTGCACTTTGACCACACCAGGAATGGTGGGACTCCATGGTCGGAGGAACTCTGGGAAATTAATGTCACTGGACAAAGCCCCACTCAGACAGCTCCTGGACGCCACTATTGGGGCCTATATAAACACAACGCATTCACGGCTTACGCACATTAGTCCACGGCACTATAGCGAGTTTATAGAGTTCCTAAGCAAGGCCCGAGAGACCTTCTTAATGGCTCACGATGGACACATTCAGTTTACACAGTTTATTGACAACCTGAAGCAGATTTACAAAGGCAAAAAGAAACTCATGATGCTGGTGCGTGAGCGATTTGGTTGATCAGCACGCAGTGGTGTCTTTTTATTGAGCCTGCCTTTGTACCCTTTTTAACTTAAAAGAAAAAACAGAGCCACACCGGTATTATATGTGTATAGTAACAAATTAGTTCACAAACTTAACCCTGTTGATTGTGAGATTTGTGTGCGTGTCTTTTTGTATGAGAGAAAAAGGAAAAACAAAATCAGTTTACACTGAGTACATGTTGTCAAGTGGCAAAAATAAGCCCACGTCGCTCCTGTCCTTTGTATGTACATTCACAGCCTAAGAGTATGGCTTTAAACCAAACAGACACCTCCATCCTAAGTGACAAGTACCTCATGAATTCAGAATTCAGCTTTACTCCTTCGTAACTCATCCTTACATTTCAGTGTATTAAGAATACAAGGCTGACCACGTGGCTTTGCAATGCTGTTCGTCAAGAAGCATGGCACACGTTGCTCGTGCATGTGTAATTAGCGACTGTCAACATACATTCTCAGGGATTTATCGAAGAAAGAATGAGAGCATTTATTGTACTGTATATATTATAGTATATGTCTGAATATTGAAAAAATATACGTAACATTTTAATTTATAAAATATTCTATGTAATGCAAAATACTTGAAGCTGCAGTAGCTTGGTATAAAAACATATCAGAAGGACTAAAGTGCGCCTTGCTTCAGGTTGGCTCAGGTGGAGAATTGTGTGCTGGGCATCTATGCAGAGCCACCACCTCTGTTGCATGATTTGGACTGATAACTATTCCGAGAAAACATAAATTGTGCAAAAAAAACACACACAAAAAAAAATGCTTGAAACAAACGTCATAGTTAAGATGGACAAAAAAATTACAGCCAGAGCAGTAAGCCTTAGCATTAAAGTATTTTGCCAGAATCGGGCTTTGTGCCTCCTAGTCTAGAACCGAACTAAAAAACAACTTCAGATATCCTTGAAAAGGTTAAACTATGATTTACAAAACAAAAGATGTTACAGTAGGCCTTTGCAGTGGTATTAGTGAAATGCTACTCTGTGCTCAATAACGTATATTAATCTGCATTGGGAACTGACTTTGTGCAGGACAGGAAGTTGCTGTGTAGTAAGACTGTTCTACTTTTTTTCCTCCTATAGAATTCCTCAAGAGAGAACAGCCTTCTTTCTTGCCTTGTCTTAATGCTTTAAACNAAAATAACCAAACTGGACATCTAACTACCAAACTGTTCATTAAAAATGACTTTGGTTTCTATTTTGAGTCTTTAATTTAGCAGAACTGTTCTGTATCTTGTGCTTTATAAAAAAAAAAGTTTTTACGTTGGGTGCAAAATGTTACTAGTGTCACTTGTTCCTTCCAATAGGGAAAATGCTAGAGATATGTTCTGTAGCCTTTTTTGCTGTTTAGGAAAAAAAATATAATTTCTTGCTCACCATTTTATTTATTATATTAGGTAAAAGATTGTACTTCATCGCCCGTGTAAACATGCTCTTGAAGTTTAAAGTAATTAAGATTTGATACACTGATATCAATTTATTTATGTAACTAAATCACTGTTTTATAAACTTGTTAATGATTCAACGATTTTTTTTGTTTTGATTAAAATTAGTTTTTTGAAAGTTAAAGATGTCTCTCTGTGTGTACAATTTCACCTGTGAACTTTGGAGTTTATCCAAAAATGTGTTTACAGACAGTTGTAATATAAAAATATGAAATACAATTTTCAAAATTTGTTTCGCTACCTTCCCATTCTTATCCAGCCTCACGTCAGGATAAGGTGTTATTTACCTTCTGTACCAGATTCCTATTCCCAGACTAGTCAGTTTGATTATTAAATCCAAAATACTGGGAAATGTCTCAAGCATGTAGTCAGTTAAGATATAATCTGTCTAATTGGTCTTTTTGCCTTTATCATCATAATTGCAATTTTTACCTTTGAAAGGTGTCAAGGGCAAAGAGATCAGTGACTAAAGTTCACATGGAAAGTAGCAAATGTTGTACACTAGTTTGTCACTAATCTTCTGAAGCTATAAATCTGACTTTAATAACTGCAGTTACGGTTTTCAACAGGGGTTTATCTTTCTCTGTGTTTAAATGAAGAGAAATTGCAGCCAGAACTTCTAGAAAATTGGAACTCCTTCATCTGAAAAGCAAGGAAGTGATTTCAGGGGAACCAGCAAGTCACAATTCAATGATACTTCTCATCCGACATTAAACAGAAGAATTCCAGTGGATGTATTGAAATGTATCTGTGATCTTTTGTGTTATGCCAGAGAATGCATGTAATGGAAATAACTTTGCTTTTACCTCCATTACCAAAATAGGACTTGTTTGCAACTGAATTTTGGGTTCTGCCAGAAACATGAAGGCATGATTATTCATAATATGTGTACCTAATTTTTAAAAAAGGCTGATTGTCCTTCATGCCTTTATTTTACCCGTGTTCCAAAACGAAACCTTGCAATAATAGGTCAATATGCATTTGAGCTCTGCAATTTTATCCAGTGTAAAACATTGAAGTCAGCATCTTAAATTTGAATATGGTACTTTAAGGTTCAAGCCCTGAAGGTCTATTTAGTTACTTGGTATTCCCTTGTAGTGATTAGCACAGGGATATGAGCTGGTTCACGCTGTGGTATTAGTGGGATTGACTGCCCATGTTTGAAGCTGCCTAATTTGCTGTGTGTTTTAACAATGTATTGGAAGTACCGATTTAGTATTGTAAAGGTACAGAGTACAAGAGCAATGGATTCGACTTTTGTGAAGTGTGGCGTCAAATTCCGCTTAGGTAATCTGGTGGATTAAGCAGGTTGATGTACCAAGCTGCTACACTGAGAAGTGATGGGAGGCAAATTCACATCTGATATTGTAATGTGGAAATGGGTTTTATTTGTGTCTTAATGTTGTGCTAGTACCTGAAACAATGAGGGGATGACTGTTTTGAAGGTGGATTCACAGTGCTGGATGACCTTCCTCCTGCTACTGACTAACTGATATGACTAACATCCCAGTTCAATCTATGAATACACTAAGGTGGGTAATACTGTGTTTACAAGAGAGGTTTGGATGAAGAATGCCCTTTGGCTCATTTGATCTCATCCTAGCAAACCATCAGCATTGCCTGATATATCTGCCTTAGTCAGAACATGCTGTGCAAGTCAACAAGCTGCTTGTGAACAGCTATGGGCTCCTCTTGTCTAAGGCTTTAATTATTATTTTCTCAAGTTCAATAGGTTTGGGAATTGTACCAGAAGATTGAAGGACAGCAAATCTAACTCTTTCATTCAAGGAGTGGAAAGGACAAAGCAAGCAACTATAGGCCTTTGAGTTTAAGATCAGTGGAGAGCAAATTACTGGAATCCATCACAGGGGATAGAATAACTGATAATCTAGATAAATATGCATATATAATGAAGAGTCAACAAGGGTTTGTGAAGTTCATGTCTCATAAATCTAATATTAGTTCTGAGATCCAGAAGTGATAGATAAAGGGGCACAATGTATGAGTTTTCAGAAATCATTTGATAAAGTGCCATGAAATTATTATTAGTTGAAATTATTGCATTGAAGGCATTATTGTATATCAAATTGTCATAGATAGGAAATTGTTTGGGACATGGGAGACAGAGTTGGTATAAAAAGTGCGTTTTCTGATTGGCAGGTGGTGACAAGTGGTGTCCCCAAGGGATTGGTGCTGGGACACCCCAACTAACCACCTCCACAACCCTCTGCCCCACACCATATGTATCGGTGACCTGGATACGGGAAAAGGGGAATATTTGCAGATGACACTAGCGAGAAGGTGTTCCAAATTGTGAAGAGGATAGCCAAAAAAAGAAACGGAAATTAAGCAAGTGGACAGAATCATGATGGATGGTTCTTAACATTGTAAAATGTGAGCTAATGGTGTACTTGGGATGGAAGAATAGAGATTGTGAGTATGTTCTGAAACGAAGCACTAGGACAGATCTATGGCTTCAAATTCAGATGTCAATGAAATTAATTCACAGGTGTAAAAGCAGAGAAATCAAATGGGATGTATTTTATTACAAGAAGTCTGGAATATGAAAGTAAGGAGATGCTTCTACAGGTTTAAAGGATATTTGTCAGATCTCATTTGGAAAACTTCAGCTTTGGATATCAGGAAAAATATACTAGTATTGGTTCATTAAACTAATGCCTGGTCTGAGAGTGCTAAAATATGCAACAATTAGTGGACAGGGATTATATTCCTTAGACCAGGGGAAGTTCAGGGGTGTTCTGATTGTGTTTCATGTCTTTTTTCACAAAAAACAATCTTCAAGGAAGATTATTAGGGGACAGAATAACTAATAATCTCGATAATCTCTGGTTTTGACCTGACTCAGATAAATTGCACATGGCAATAATCCAATGTGTCTTTGATAGTTGATCCGCCTGTCTGCCTCTTCCATGGGACTTACGAGGAGCAACAACAACAACAAGATTCCACTTATTGAGCGCCTTTCACGTCGGGAGGATGTCCCAAGGCGCTGTACAGTTGGGTCAGGACCCGAGCAGGGGGGAAATGGTCAGGGTGAGGGGAGGGAAGGGAGGGAGCGAGGAGGGGGTAGAGAGTCGAGAGGGGAGCTGAAGGCACGGTCAAAGAGAAAGGTCTTGAGATCGGCCTTGAAGGAGGAAAGGGAGGAGGCAAGGCAAAGGCACTGGGGGATAGAGTTCCAGAGCCTAGGGGCTGAGAGGCTGAAGGCCCGGCCACCGATAGTAGGGCGGTTGGGGCGGGGGATGTGGAGCAGACCGGAGCCAGAGGAACGGAGGGTACGGGCGGGTAGGTAGGGGGATAGGTCGGAGAGGTAGGAGGGAGCAAGGCCGTGAATGGCCTTGTAGGTGAGGGTGAGGATCTTGAATTCGAGCAGACAAGTTCTTAACCCTGTGAACCAAATCCTAACTGGTAAAACAAACCTAGCACTGAAACCAACCACCTGCTCCCTTGACCCCATCCCCACTCCACTCCTTAAATCCCAGCTCCACTTTCTTGCCCCACATATCACCAACATCATCAACCTGTCCCTCTCCTCTGGCTCTGTCCCCATTCCCTTAAAAACTGCCACCA